TGTACCTCAGTCTGCAGAGCTGTGCAAGCAGTGAGGAGAGGCAGTGAAGCCCATTTTAATGTGTGATTGCCCAGGAACAGAGGAGCACTGGGCTGGGGCTCGGGCTCACCCTGTGGAGAGATGCAGCAGGGCTCATGTGCCACGCGCCTCAGCCCTTGTCTGCTGAAGGTGTTGGTTTTTGTTTGTTTTGTTGGTTCTACGTCTTGTTTTGTTTTTTCTCCAAGGCCAGAGCTTAATTACATGAGGCGGTTTTGTCCCCAGGTTCAGTATCTTTCCCGTGGGTACACATACTTCTGCAAAAGTGAGTCCCTGTTTTGTAGTACATTTTTTTCTTTTTTTTTTTCCTTTATTTTCTTATTGCTATCATTTTATTTATTTATCTATTTTAATTCATCGGACACAATTGCAGTCATTTTGTTACTAACTCTTGGATATAATCTTCTTCTAGTGAGATTACTGTATTCAAATTACAGTTCTGTTATAAGCTTCTAAAAATGTGACGTGGCGCAGTGTATGCAGTATCTCCTGAGAACAGCCTCACAGAAAACATGCATGTCTGTAGAACTGAATGAAATAATGATGGGGGAATTATAGTCACACATAATGCAGAGATCAGTGGCTGTGGTATAAGCTGCTTCCGACAGATTTATACTTCAGGTAAATTAGTGTTTGAAGTCTGAGAAGATCCAAGCTTTCATGGAAGACCTGTAGAGTGTGCAGGCTGCATCTGATGCTGATGGCTTAGTGCCACTCTGCTGAACTGTGTGACTTTGTTGCAGTTCACTAGACAGTGAAATGAGACCCAAATCCCAAGCAGTGGGCTGTTTAATTGTGATTTGCTGGTGAAATGCTCTTTGGCTAGAAATCTATTTGGATTTGCTTAGATTATTAGAATTTACTCTCAGCTTAGGTTTGAGCTTTCATTAATTATCTCTCTCTGTTTGCACTGAGCTTCTCAACATATTTTTAGGGTATTAGTTGTCAGCTTCAGCTTTGCAGGACAAATTTGTCCTCATCTGTATCAGAGTGTAGTCTGGTCCAGGCCTGAGGGTCCAAGAGAAGGCAAGACATTGCACTTAGTCAACCATTTCCTACTTGCATGACTTGGAAAGTGCATCATGCTAGGCAGTGCTGATGGGAACAGGGTGAGGTTTGTCATCATCTTTTCCACCAACATATTCTCTCTGGAGCTATGCAGATGAGAGAACCCTTCATTTTCTGGTAAAGCAAAATAAAAATGATTTTGTGAGGGGCTGCATGAATGGGAAGCTTCAGGACAGTTAAGGAGATGCATCAGTTTCTGCCAGTGCATGCCTCATGGTTCACAAGTTTTTGCCTATAGGACACTCGGAGATGATCCACTAATGATGAAGTTTACCAGCAGATTTGAAATGCTCCACCTTTGAAAATATAGCACCTTGTACAGTGAGTTTGCTTTGGATTTGGTGTCTTATAAAAGGTGCAAACTGTTTTCTTTGCTGCAGCTGTGTTCTGTGTCTCATGTGATAAGGGAAAAAAATTGTTGTCTCATGCTTTCTGTTTGAATTCTCTGCCTTGCTTACACTTGCTTAAGCTTGCCCATTCTTACACACTGAGCAACCATGAAAGCTGTTCTTCCTCTGCCTTTTTTGTTGAAAATGCATTACGCACTTGAGTAATAAATAAAAGATCAAGGGCAAAGCTGTATAATGTTTTACCATGTTCTTTGTGATAAACCCTACTTTATGGCACTCATTCTTTTGCTAGCAGACCTCATTCTGGGGAGATTCTATCCTTTAGTGTTTCTGCTTATTCTGCAAAGTGAAAGATCTGTTATGACTTCACACCAACTGCTGGATTTCAGCAGATGAGATCTGCACTGTGTGTAAGTCACACTGCTGGGTCAGTGGATGAGTTATTTTATCTCACTATTATTCTTTTTCTTGCCTGCCTCAGTTCTAGGGAACTCAAGCTGCCTGAGGGGTGTGAAGACTGCTCTACTCTAGAAGTGTGAGAAACCTTTCATGAAAGCATGTAGGTTAAAGGTCTCTGCTACAGCTGAGTTCCTACCAGGACGTGGTTAATGTCTGTAGATATGAATTGAGATTGGACTGGAAGTGCTGCCAGCTGCCTGCAGGATCTGGTGGTGGTTCTCTCTGCAACCAGTGTCCCTTCACAGTGCTCTGACGGTAAGCCTAAAGCACCTGCTGAGGACATACATTTCTGCTCCTCTCTGTCACGCCATTCTCCTCAGCAACTGCAGTCTTTTCTATGGTTTCTCTGAGCCTTGCCCTGGTGGAGTGCTGCTTTGGCTTGGTATTTAGACAGGAGGCTGCTGAGGAGCACTGGCAGTGACAGAACATGTGGCTGAGGGCTCCTTGGGTGGCACCGCCAAGTGATTTCCAAATCAGAGCATCGGTCTGGAACTTCAGTGTTTCTTTCTCCTCAGAATAACTCCTTCAATTTTCACTAGAAATTATTGCTGTATCCCTGGGTGCCTCGAAGTTCAGCGTGGTGCAGCTAAATGCTGATAAACAGCTCCTACATTTCTCATTATGCGTGGGTGGCCTGATTGGTATTTACAGCTTGTGCTTTTGTGCTGCGAGATGGAAGGTGAGATGTGAACGTACCACTGCTACTAGAGACCAAACTGAGTGCTGCCCTTCCTAACATTCATTGCTGCTTCTTTAAAGACGCCGACCCTATTTGAGCAGCCACGAAGTTTGATGAAGTCAGAAGTCCGGTGCTTAGTGAAAGCTGCAGTGCTGACATAGCGCTTGGTAAGGAAGGGCCTCAAACCTGTGAACGATGTCATATCACCGGTGTGCTGGGTTTCAGCACAGCTCTGCTGTGACCTTTGGAACATGCACTTTAAGCTTGGACTAAATTTTCCCCAGCTAAATTGAAGGTTACACAGGCACCTCTAAAAGTGGGGCAAGCTTCATCCTCTTCCTTCTGATAGATGCCGCTTTTCTTTTCCGTCTCAGAACTATAACTGCACTGGAGATGAGCTGCTTTAGTCTCGCAGCTGAATAGGAAGGTCCTTAGTGGTGCTGACACACATTTTGCATTGAGGTCACTGGTGTGTTTGGCCCAGGTTTTCAAGTTTCTCCTGTCTCAGGCAGCATTTGGATGGATCTGGCCACTGCCTTCTATTTAGCAAGGAAGCGTCGCGTGATGCTTCTGCAATTGAAATCACTGCATCAAAGGGAATTGTATTACAGTGAAATGATTGGAACGTCCTGTGTAAAGAAATAAAGGTAGGAGTTGAATTCCTTTCATTTATTATTTGAAAAGTGCAGATGCTTTTCTAAAGCTGTTGTGATTAAAATTCTGAGGTTTTTGTTCTGTTCAAAGGACAATTCTGATTATAATTTTTCAAAAAGCCTTGGAGTTTAAATACGTCTGTATTCACTAATCACACAGTATTGATGCCAGAATACTTCACAGCACCTCGTCAGGAATCACAGCTCTTTATTAGACTCATCCCCGTGCTGTTGCCTGCACATCCAGCCTGCCTTGTTTCCACTCTGCCCTCAGGACTTCTGCCCAGGGGATCCTATCAGCCTCCCTTGGGGTCTCAGATCTTAATCATGCCATATGACCACAAATGACTTCAGTGTTTGCTTGGACAGGATCGATTTACTGGGCACAGTGAATTGATTCTCCAAGCCTTGCCAGTAGGACAGCACTGGCTTCATGAAAATTGATTTAGATATTATTAATTAAGTTAATAGTTACTATTAATAACTAAAGTATTTGAAAAAGCTGATAGAATACTCCTTACTGTCAACCGAGGCAGCACTAACGAGTATAAATCCTAAAGGAAGCCTATCATTTCATCTGTCTGGTCATGGAGATGTTAAAGTCTGTATGCTTTGACTCTACCAGACCTAAACATGTGATGAAGGCATCTAAGTTAACGTGTCCTCACACCAACCCTTTAAAATCCTCATTCTAAACTTCTTGGCAGCACGGACAAGTTCTTCTTCAGCTGGTGCGTGGGAACAGCAAGTGAAGATGCACAAAACTTTGTTGTTTTCTGAGATACAATGTCTCAGTATCAAACTGCCCCTGCTGCAGTCCCATGTTCTGCTGGTTTGCAAATTAAAGGTCAGTCCAGCAGTAAGAAACGGAACCTCTGCTCAGGAGCCTCACAGCTGCTTCTGAATTAATGAATCGATTAAAGTCAAACGCAAGGGTTTGATATGCTATTTAACTCTCGGGCTTGAAATTGAGAAGCTGTAAGTACACAGATCAGTGCTCTCCTCCCTCGGGCTATAGGACTGCACCGTTTAAGTCAGTGTTCCCCGTCCCTCCCTTCCTTCGTTCCTCCTGAAGTATCTGCAGCTTCAGTGCAGCCGGCAGAAACTGACAGCTCGGTAACTTCCGTGCACAAAGATTTCATTCTAAAACTTCCCCGTTGGTTTTTCTTTGCCGTTTGAATGCAGGGCTCTTTATCACATGTTCGTCATTCTGAGCATCCCCATTTTAACGAGAATTGATGTCTGCCAAAATACACTGAACTTTTCTGATACCACTGTGTAATCATCTGTGAAATCATCGGTGACTGCACGTTGTGGTGCCGTTTTTGTGAGCCAGTTGAGCAGCCCGGTCACTTCCTTTCATCTTATGCCGCATAACCGTGTTTATTTAACCCTAGACGAGTAGTTCCCGCTGAGGAGATCCCAGGGTGCTCGATTTGCGGCCGCAGCGCACACTCGGCAGCAGCAGCCCGCTGCTCCCAAAGCCCATTTTCTCGGCGTTTTTCAGCTCGCCTTTCCCGCAGCGTTTGCTCTGGTAACAGCGGCCGGGAAGAGCCGGGAGCAGGGCCAGGGCTGGACGCGAGATGGCGGTGCCAGCACGGCCACGGCCGCCAGGAGCGCGGGGCGCGGCTACAGCCCCTGCCCCCGTCCTGCCCCCGTCCTGCCCCCTCCCCATCACAGTCCGACAAACGAAGCCAGTCCTGCAGCGCTCCTGCCAAACCGCCCCACCTCCTCCCTGCCGTCCCCGCAGTAATCGCACGGCGCCTCGCTGCTGGTTTCTGCCCTTTCTGGGTCACTGCTGGGGAGATGAGGAGCGCGAGCGGCGCGATAAAACCGCGCTCCTGCCGGAGAGCCTCGGGCGAGCGTGCCGGGAGCGCCCACCCACCGGCTGCTCCCACCCTGCCCGCCTGCGTCGCTGGGTGAAATCACCGCCTCGCCTGCGCGGAGCCGCGGACGGGCACGTGTCGGCGGGCGGGCAGGGGCCGGGAGCCGCAGCCCGGAGCCGCCGACGGGAGCGGAGCGGGAGGAACTTTACCCGAACTCGGGCTCGCAGGGCCGCGGCGGCGGCGCCCCGGGGGCGGCCAACCCGCTCGGCGGAGCGCGGCCCGGCGCTGTCCGCGGTGCCGGCGCCGCCCGGGCTCCCGGCGCCGTCTCCGGTCCCGGTTCCTTTAGGATGATGCAATCGGCGTCGCCCTCTGCGCTCCCGTCCCCGCGCCGCTGAGCGGAGCGGATCCGAGCGGAGCGGCGGGGCGGAGCGCGGCGGGCGGACGTGGGAGAGCCGCGTTCCGCGCTGCCCGGGCGGCCGCGGGAATCGCCGGAGCGTCTCAGCCCTCAGCGCGGGCTGCGGGGTTTCTGCAAGTCATCTGAGGCAGCGTCCCCCGCAGCTCGTTCCCCGCTCTCCCTTGGCCCCGCTCTCAAGGAACCCGATCGGATTTATTTGGGATTTTTGTGCTTTTTTTCCCCCCTCTCCCCCTTCGTGCTGTGTGTGTTGTTTTCTCATCACCTGCCACGGTTAACTTTTTTCGTGACTCGGTTTAACTCTCGAGATCTACGTGAATGTTGTTAAGAGCACTTTTCTTGCCTTTGCTGTCCCTTGCTGGGATCGGATCCGATACTATCTGGACTCTATGTGCCTGTATGTGTGTTCTGAGTGTCTTGAAATCTTGCTTTCCTTTACAAGAGCTATGCATTTGTAACCAAGGTAAGAGCTGATGTTCTCACTGTCTCATCTGCATGTTTAAATTAGATGTTTGTTTGAAGATAAACTGTGCGTATACTTTAAACTGCAGGATCACTCCGAGTCCTTCCATTGATTAGTATTTCTGAAAGAGAAGGGGGAGAACTTGGAAAAATTAGATATGTTTAGCAGGAAGGCTACCAGCTTCCTAGAATGAGTTGTTTTTCTCTATTGCAATTGCTGGCATGTTTAAGAGGTTAATTTGAATCTTATTTTGTTTTCCCTTTTAGAAGACCAGTGAATTACCATAGGCTGGGCTTGACCTTGATTTTGATGGCTTTGCTGGAAGATCTGATGATGTGATTGTGTTTCATGAAGGGATTTCTCTCCAGCCCCAATGGCTTAGGATATAAGACACTTCTACCACACCATTACTCATGGACAATTCAAATATTTTTTTGGGCATACCTTTTGGGTTTTTTTTCTCTTTCCTCACTTCCCCTTCCCCCTCATTTCTCCTTAATACTGGGAGCCTTATTCTAGACTTTGATGTGACTGACCATCCTCCTGCTCCGTGCTGCTGTTTTCTTTTTTGAAGTACAATGGCACTAAGTGGCAACTGCAGGACTTACCTCCCTGCCCGGGAGCAGGGCTCTGGGCTGCAATCCTTCCCAGAGGTTGTGGAGCTAAATGTGGGTGGCCAGGTTTACTTCACTCGCCACTCCACCTTGGTTGGCACCCCTCACTCCTTGCTGTGGAAAATGTTCACCCCAAAAAGAGACACAGCCAACGATCTGGCCAAGGACTCCAAGGGAAGATTCTTCATCGACAGAGATGGTTTCCTTTTTCGCTATATTCTGGACTATCTCAGGGACAAGCAAGTGGTTCTGCCTGACCACTTCCCTGAAAAGGGAAGGCTCAAGAGGGAGGCCGAGTACTTCCAGCTCCCAGACTTGGTCAAACTCCTGACTCCTGATGACAGCAAGCAAAGCCCCGATGACTATTGCCACAGCGACTACGAAGAGGTCTCCCAAGGCAGTGACACGAGAATATGCCCCCCTCCATCTCTCTTACCATCAGATCGGAAGTGGGGATTCATTACCATTGGGTACCGCGGGTCATGCACTATTGGCAGGGAGAGCCAAGCAGATGCCAAATTCAGGAGGGTCCCAAGGATTTTGGTTTGTGGAAGGATCGCTTTGGTCAAAGAGGTCTTTGGAGAAAGTTTGAATGAAAGCAGAGATCCAGACAGAGCTCCAGAAAGGTACACCTCCAGGTTTTATCTCAAGTTCAAGCATCTGGAGAGGGCTTTTGACATGTTATCTGAGTGTGGATTCCACATGGTGGCCTGCAACTCCTCAGTGACGGCGTCCTTTGTCAATCAGTACACTGATGACAAGGTCTGGTCCAGCTACACTGAATATGTCTTCTACCGTAAGTACGAGACATTGCTGAGGGAAACGTAACTGCCTGCTTGAAGCTGACCGTGCCGTTCGCAAAGCATGAGAAGTGCAGATTTCTTTGTATCTGCTGCAGATGGGAGCTTTATTTTGATCTGAGGTGATATGCTTCAGTTTAAGCTTTCAAACTATAAGGCCAGACTGAACTCTGTGCCTTGGTCCTGGCTAGGTGGCAGCACAGACTGCCAAAAGCACCCCATCCCTGTGCCTGAAGGATGCTGCTGTCTCTGGCTGTGTAAATCAGCCATCTGACAGCCTTGCACACTTACTGAGTGCAAGCAGGATGCAATGTAAGCCATGCAAACACGCTGCAGATTTAATTACAGAAAACCTTCAAATTGGGTTTAATTTACAAAGGTAATAGCTGCTTGATAATAGTCAAGCATAGCCAGCAAACCATCTGTCAACGCGCCTGACACACTTACACACAGGGAAGGGAAAAAAAATCCTGTCCCCTGGCTGCTTTTCAACAGGGAGCCTTCTCAGATCCAACTGACGTGCTCTGAGATGAGGGCTCAGAGCAGAGAGAGGCGAGTTGCTGTGCCCTGTTATGCAACATGCCTATGAAAAACAGTCCTCATAATGAGAAGTATCTGCCCTGCTTCCTGCAATCACATCGGATCACATACTGTTGTGGTAATTTTAGCTGATCGCTCTAGCAGGCTCATTAACTTTCTAAGTTGATATTCAGGTAGAGGCACCGTTACCAATGGAAACATGAGGATGATTTTGATTCTATATTCCTATATCAGAAAATCATCCCTCAGCTGCTATGCATGAATGTGCAAGAAGTTTGTGAGGATGTTCTTTTCCATTTTCATCTCAGGAGAGTGAAGAATGGAACATTTCACTGGTCGTTTGTACAAACGGGCTTTAGCTAGCTGCAGCTTTGGTCAAAAGGATTTAAAGAGGGATAAAAATTACTCAGCCTGCAGACCTGCTGCACTGTGTGCAACACCTACATTTGGCAGGCTTGGTAACATGGAGAGCTGACGAAAGTTTTAGGTGAAAGATGATATATCAGGAATTGAATGGCTTGTGTGCAGTACTGGATCCAGTGCCATCTACTCGTGTCTCAGCTCAACAGGCAGCCCTAATCTGCTTATGTAATGATGCTTAAGTTAGCATCCTGAAAAGCCGTATGTATTTTTGATGTGCATAGTTAACTTAAAATTAGTTTTCTAGATGGATTCCTCATCAAAAGGTCCAAAGGATGCTAACAAGGATGGAGGATTGTGGTCCTTTTCAACCCAGGCCATTCTATGTTTGGTGATCAGTGTCTTGTGCAAGACAGAGGAGAACAATTCATGTAGACAGATGAATTAGAATGAATTACTTAAATATAAAATCAGAAAAGATTTTAATAGGCCCAGTGTTTTGTTAATTGAAGAGAGGATGAAAGTAGGTTTGACACCAGTTAGGAAACGTGGACTTATAACTTCTATATTACTCACATTTTTACCTTCAAGGATCGCTCATTGCTTCCACATCGTCATGGTTAAGGTACCAAGATAAGAAGAACCTCACAAATTTTGGACACTGAAACTTCAACAAGCTTCACAAAATCTTCTCTCACTAACGCAGAGAACTCCAAATCCAATAGAGGTGCTGTTAGAATGGGAAAGTTTAACGTGGTGGAAGGGTGATATGGGAATGCAACAGCAAAGGGGCCAGTGCAGATATGATGATGTTTCAAAGAAAAGTAAAGGTGCTCACCTGCCTCTGGAGATCTAGGATTGCAGGAAAGACTCCACCAAACAGAGATCTCCAGAAAGAGATCCACCCCCAGTGGCAGTCAGCCCTTAAATGGGGTCTAGGAGAGGGGCAGCCAGGCTGCAGTCCTTCCTATCACACAGCTGAATTGCCTTCACCTGTGCTCCCAGGGCTGACCGGCTCCTTTCCAGGTGCTCAGTCAGTGGTGCAGGCCGGGATTCGGCAGCTCCCCTACAAATTCCTGGAAAGGTTGATCCAGTTCAATAAGTTTCGTATTTGGCTTGTGCCAATTTTGTGGATTTTTGACACTGATGCTTTTTCAAAGATGGGTTTTTCGAAGGATCCTTCCCTAGGCAAAGCAAGGACTGTGATTCTTTTGTATCTTGACCCAGATGTCTCTGTTACTCTTCATGTTGGCTGCTGCTCGCTCTCACAGAGCTGCTGCTGGGCTGCAGGGCTCACCAGCAGTGCTGCAGAAGGGCAGCGCAGTGCCTCCAGCATTCACCTGTGGTGGCAGAGGTCCCTTTCCAAATCTTCTAGAGCTGTATCTTTTTAAACTTTGAGGACCAATAAAATTGACATCTGGCTTTTTAGTGGAACATTACGACTTCTCTGCAGCTGTTTAGTCATAATTATTTAATTAGAAGCTGCCAACTGTGTCTGTATAAGGATGAATTCATCAAGCTGTTGTGATCAGGTTAATGGTCCTAAGCATGGGAGGTGCCTAATACAGCTGGATAGACAGGTACAAAGGTGGTTTCTGCAGAGCAGCTTAGTAGCTCATGTGAAATGTGCGATTGAGGGAGTCCAGAGCTGGGGAAGGATGATTGTTTCCAGAGGAGAAGGAATGGAAGGGGACAACAATGTTTTGATGCACCGAATGCATCGTATGCTCCAAATACTCCTCAGGAAGCAAATTTCTGTGGTTGGCTTGAAGATAAAGACCATTCTTCATGTGCAAATCCTTTTGAAAGCAAAGCAGATGGACCAGAGAGGACGTAAATCATGCAGCTATTCACGTGGGCGCAGTGTGTGCCATTAACAAAACTGGACAATTAATATTGTATGACATTTTCTCCTCCTGTTCAAGTTCAGACGCTCCTACCGCTAATGGGAGACTCGTGTTCTCTTTGGAGGAGATTTTCCCGAAATGCAGGGCACACAGGGAGTATCCAGAACAGCAAACCTGCAGCTGTTTTGCTGAGTGAGTGGTGAAATGGGCTGCAAAGCCTGCACACAGGATGACAGTGCAATCCTGGCAGGGCAGCTGGGCATCACTCCAGTTTCAAATAGGCCGAGGCAAAGGACGATTTGGAGACAGGCAGCACGGGTCCATTAGGCCCATAATTAAGCAGTTCTTTGAAATGTGGTAGCTTTGCAGTGGGTAGGCAGGAGCCACAGGCTGCGCATCTGCTCGCAGGTGGAGTTCTGCACATGCGTTTTCTTTCCCTCCAGATTCTCTTATGTCAAGGAATTTTTAAAAAATTAGCAGTTAAGGTTGAGTTTCTCAACTGAACACTGTTATGTTTTTCTCTACTGTTTTTTCAGTGAAGTAAAGTAAAGCAAAGTAAGTCTTGAAGTAAAGCCCCATCTCCAACCATTCCTTTATGACGAGGATTATCGCCTGTGCTGGGATTTACATTTTAAAATGTTTTCAACCTTTACAATGGAATGAATCAAAATTGCTCGCTGGCACAACTGGTGAATGCTGGGGGGCGGTGGTGTTAAAGCATACGGGCTGGCTCAGCCAGGCCCTATCCCTGACAGCGGCAGAGGCAGGCTCTTTCTCACCTCCTCCCATAACCTACACAGCAGCCCTTTTTGCTTGGCTCCCAGCACAGAGCATTGCCAGGACTGCTGGTGACAGTCCTGCACGCGCACACTGTGAGTGCCAGAGTGCAAAACAACAGGTTGGGAGTGGAGGAGGCTTTGGCTTCAGGCAGCAGGTCAGCATCACAGCTGGGTGCCTGCAGGTGTCTGCAGTGCGTCACGGCAGTGGAATGGGATGGGGAGAAACTGCAGCACAGCCCCACCGTGTATTGCTGTTTCCCCCCAGAATCCCTTCCTTCTCTCTGCTTTTCTCCCCATCATGGCAGGCTCTCAGAGCAGCTCATGGTACAAAGGGGAGACTTTGGTGCCAGCTTGTCATATCAGTCCCTGCCCCTGCTCCCGGTGGCTGCAGGGTGCACCATGAGGAGCCGGTTGCCCTCTGCTCAGCTGGAGCAACGAAGGAGGTGAGAGGAGAGCTGCTAGGCAAAAGGATCGAATATAGAAGTGCAGATGGAGAAAAGAGATAGAAAATTCACACTCAATCTGGAGGGGAAAGAACTAGGGAAAAGATGGAGGTACTGACAGCTATACCAGGGCGTGGGGAGGGAGGATTTGTTAGGAGCGTCAAGCCGTCAGTTTATCACAAATGTTTCTCTGCAACAAGCAGGTGGAGACGGGTTGAGAAAACCTCCTTCAAGTTCACTACAGAAAAGAATGCAGAGATTTAGACAGATGGCTGCCCCTACCCTTCCGGAGGCCATTTTTCAAGTCTGAGCAAGTGTGGAAAAAAACGAACAACTGGCCTGGTTTCTTACACCTTGCCTTGTGCCGGCCGCTTCACATCCTTCAGAGCAGCTCAAGCACCTGCAAATGATGCAAGGGAACTGTGAGGTGTTCCTGGCAGTGGAGCTCTGAAAGGAAAAAATGACTTGACAAGGCTCTTGCTCCGGAAGGTCGTGCGCTGCCTCCAGCGCAGGGTGCATTTTGCCCTTCTCACCTTTCTCTTTCAAGAAGATGCTGGTGGTGTGTGGTTGTCATTTGCCTGCTAGGAGGCTGAGATATGTCTGAAGTAGGTTTTGGATTTTGCTGGGATAAACAGACGAGTTCTGTTGGGTGGGGCTGGGCAGGAGGAAAGGCGAATGCCAGAACGTCCACAGCCAGCCCTGCAGTACGTGTGAACAGAGCTGAGAGATCACACGCCGATGTACATGTGGCTGACTCATAAATGAACTGCGTGGTAGAAACCTGACTAACAAGACTGAATCCTCTTGTACAGGGACACCCACAGCTCTGCTGTCAAATGGTTAGATGTGGAACATGAGTATCGCCTATTTTCCTGCATCTTCATAAGGAAACCATTTTAAGTTCTAGTAATTTGTTCTGTTTTTAAACTGGCAAAGAAGAAAATGACCCAAAAGATAACAGAATAAAATCTAATCCAGTGAATTACGCACTCTTCCTTTCCTGTTGACAGGAGTTGCTGTTTTCCAG